GAAGAAGAGAAAAGCACCCGCGCCAGACAACATCACTTTGGAAGAAACTGAAGCTCTGGGACGTTTCAGAATTTAAATAATAACAAAATTATTAAATGACATTTATAATAGTTAGTACACCTCTAATGACCTGTTAAAATCTATATCTATTGCTCTACCAAGGAAAGCTGGCACTTAAAAATGTGAAGATTATCCTACCATAAATCATATGAGTCATGTGAAATTAATGTTACCAAGAATAATTATGAGAAGAGTACGAAACCAGATTAAACCAGAAATTTGTAAAGAACAATGTGGATTTGTGGAAGAGAAAGGTACAAACAATGCCATTTACACCCTCAGAACGCTTTCACATAGAGCTATAAAAGTAAAAAAAAAAAAAGGTCTTGATGTGATGGTGTGAAACATATAGAAATAATCTAACTATTAGAAAAATTAAACATTGATGAAAAAGTTACGAAAAAAAAAAAAAAACGTGTATTGGCATCCAACAGCAGCTTTAAGAATTAATAAACAGTTGGGAACGTATCAGAGCATAAAGAGAGGAGTAAGGCAAGAATGCCTACTATCACCTGATTTGTTTGCATTTTGCTTCTTTCTTCTTTTGTATGTGTATGTGTATGTGTGTGAGTGTGTGTTAATATCTTATTATCCCGCTAGGCGTTGCAGTTCATCAAATGATCGACAGCCGAGCTAGGGCCCGCTCAGTCGCTTGATATGCTGCGATGTTATGCAGTCTCAATGTGTCAGCGACTCCTTCAAACCACAGAGATGGAAATTCAGCAATTAATTCAAGATAATGGTCGCTTTGAGGATTTGATCTTTTACACAGACGATTCATTGACAAGAGGCAAAAAAAAAAAAAAAATGCTTGGGGCTTCTTAGCAAAAAATAATGGTTTCTTAGCAAAAAATAATGGTCGAGAGTCTAGCATGTGATACCACAACATCAAGATTAAGAATGGAGATGGAGGCGGTCACTGCAGCTTTCCGCTGGCTAGAGAACACGACACAAACAAACATCGTGATTGTAACTGACTTTTGGGTCTTCATGTTGAGGAAGATCAGAACAGGCATGCCTCGTGCAGAGTAGCATGTTTCGCTGCGGAGAACACGGGTGAGGAGTATTGTCTGGATTTTCTTCACCAGATGACGCCCGTGTGTTGGAAAATGAACAGGCGGACAGACTGGCTGGCTCTGCACAGCTTGGTGGAATACTGATGCATGATAAGGCAGACGTGGTTAGTGCCTTGTGTGAGAGCTTGTAGAGTTCGGAGGAGCAGATTGATCACCACAGTCTGGCGAGATTGATGCGGGGGGAAGGGGGGGGGGGAGTGACGAGAGGTTCCGGCAGATGCTCGAGGCTCAAAGGAAAGGCAACATGGACGTTTAATCAGAATGATACTGTCACCATTAGTATCGGAACTCTTCGCTGGCTGCTGAAGATGGGGACAGAGCGCTTATAGGAGTTCACCAAGTGCTGTGATGTCGGTTCTTGAATCAAATAATATCAAATATTCTTCTCGGTCATCCGCCGCCTCTTGATGTTTCGATTTTTAGGTTGAACGTTCTTGCTGCTAGCATCGTTAGTTTCATTCTCATTAGATGGCCAAACCATTTCATTCTGTGTTTCTAAATAAATTTGACGTCGGACGTTGTTCCAACACTTCTTGTGACAAGGTCGCTTCTCACTCCATCTCTTCTAGCTATATTTACAGCCATTCTCAAACATCACATCTCATATTCGGTTAGTTTTCTTTCGTGTTCTTCTGTCAAAGTCTAAGTCTGACACTGGTAACCTAAAGTCGTTTAAATATTATATTTATAATTCGTCTTTTTGTCTCTTTTCAGATAGCAGGGTGTTTAAAAATTGGAGTAAGTTGGGACATGACATTGTTGGCTTGTTAGATTCTCATTTCTATCTCTCTGTCTTTTTTACCGTCGCGTGTAAAGATGCTTCCCAAGTATTTAAATTCTTGCACTTGTTTCAGACTTTGATTTTTGATCTTCATGTCGATGGTTTGCTGCTCTCTACTTATTCTCATGACTTCTTTTTTTTTTTTTTTTTAAATATTGATATTCATGTGATACTTAAAGCAACTGTCGTGTAGTTAATTTATGTGGTCCTGCAGCTGTTTACTTTCACTGTGGCATATGCTCAGATTGTCGGCAAAGAGTAGCTCATTGAAATCCTCCTGTTTATCGACATCTGGTGGTGTTCTGTCTTTATTACTAATATCGTCTGTGAATATTATAAAAAGTGAAGGTGAAAGAACCCACCCTTGCCTTACTCCTGATGTTACTGGGAACCAGAGTAAAGGTGAAAGAACCCACCCTTGCCTTACTCCTGATGTTACTGGGTGTGACGTGACGCGTGGTTTAAGTGTTTATGTTGTTGAGTAGGGATCTTCCTTTCAACACATTCTCTCCACTAGATAAACCGAACTAAAATCTGAGCTATGTTGCTCTCAGACAAAGTCCTGGATATCCAAGAAAACAGC